GATCTGCTACTGTGGGTCCCTCAGAAACGCCTCCTGAGAGGTGCAGGTGCGGGGCCTCCCAGCAGAGGGCGGCAGAGCTGCGTCCCCTGCTGGCCGAGCCCAGATGGGAGAGGTGGGTCCTAGTCCGGACAGGAAGGCCGCTCTCCCCGCTCTTCAGGGGTCAGGGGTTTTCCGTAAAGCCCACTCGAGGACTCATCCCGTCTGTCCTCCAGCCCTGAGTCGGTCACGGGGCAGACTCCTCTGCACCACGTCCCTCTCTCGCCTCCACCCTGCCCCCAGCCGTGAGAGGGGGCCCGAGGAAGGGGGGGGGTAGGCCTCAGGATGCACCACCTGGTGATGCCTGCAGCCGCGTTGGGTCCCCTGAGGACAGTGGGGGTGGGGTGGCGTTCCCGATGTGGGAGCTGTGTGCTGTCCGTGGTGGAGGCGGTCGCAGGCTGCTGGCCGAGAGCTCCTGGCATGTTCCCTGGGCGTCCGCCGTGGGGAGTAGGTCCTGGGCGGGAGTGCCTCCGCCAGGCCCTGGGAGGGGCGCCCACGGCCTCCAGGGCCATCCGGGCCACGGGGCCTGAAGTCCTGCGTGCTCGGCCGAGTGCAGGACAGGAGGTGTGGGCCTCCACTCTGGGTGTCTGGCAGCTGGGGTGCTGCTGAGCCCCCATGCTGTGGCTCTGGCCCTGCCGTGACATGGGGGACCCACAGGTGGGCTGTTTTCACCTGGTCTTTGTGGAGCCGGGTCTCTTTAACGCACAGGCAGGGAAGGGCAAGGTCAAGGAGGCAGCCTGGGAGGACCCTGCTGGTCGTTTGAGAGGGAAGGGCTGGGGCAAGGTGTGTGGCTCGGGGCGTGGGGCTGGGTTGTGGGTCCCGGCCCTGCCTTGGCGGGGGAGTGGCCTGTGTCCCACTCTGCCTGCTCTGGGAGGTCAACGTGGGCGCACCTTGTGCTGTGCGTGAATTCCGTCCTCATTTCAGGACAGGATAAGCCGTAGCCGCTCCGTTCCAGCATGTCTTTCCTGGCTCTGGACAGTGGTATGTGGAGGGCCTGGCCCGCGGCCTATGGGCATGTGTGGGGACACGCGTGCATACACTGCTGGGAGAGAGGCCGCGTGGCTGACCTGGCGTGCTCAGGAGCCGGTGCTCACAGTGCCCCGGAGTCGTCCACAGGTGCCTTGATCCTGTCCCTTCTGTGGTAGCCGGGGAGCTGACAGGAGTCGTCCCCCACCGTGCGGGGTTGGGGCCCCAGGCCCCGGACCGCCTGCTGAGGGCGGGGAGCATGGAAGCCCGGCCCTGCGCCCCCATCAGGCCCCGCCCTCCCTTCCCGCTGTGGGAGCCGCTCCGCCCCCGCTCCACCCCCTCATTGGTTGCTGGGGCTGGTGGGGCCGCCCTGCTTCGGGGTGCAGCTCTGGAGAGCGCCCTGGGGCGCAGAACAGAAACCGCAGCCGCCCCCAGCGCCGAGGGCAGACCGTGGTGGTCTGTCGGTGGCCACGGGCCCTTAGGTTCGGACCGCATCCTCGGGCCGTGCCCAGCGCGTTGGAGTGTGTCTCCCAGCGTGTCGTGGAGAGGCCTTCGTCGACAGAGGGCAGCTTGGGCACCCGAGCCTGGTGGCGTGCTCTGGAGGCCACGGTGACGTGGGCTGCGGGCCCTGTGATCCCACCAGGTGTCCTCCGGCACGCCGTCTGATTAGGGCAGTTTGTCCCCGCTGTGTTTGTATCTTGGGGTTTGTAAACGGCCACCCAGTGACAAAGGTACCATGTGAAGAGTGAAGAAAACTTGGGAAACAGAACGGCGGGGCGCAGTGCCTGGAGCCACGCCCCTCCCAGGTGACCGTCTGTTTCCGGGAGCCGTGCCAGGCGGCAGTGCCGGCCTCCTGTGTTCTAGCCGCTTCTCCGGCTGCCTGGGGCTGGGCCGTCCCCTTCCCCTGGGGTGTCCCTGTGCAGCTCGCCCGCCGTCGGCTCTGAGGGCATGCTGCACCCCCTGAGCTGATCCCCAGCACTGCGTCCTCGTGAGTACGGCGGGAGCATGCCCTTCTCGTGGGCGTTGGCAGAAGAGGGTCCCACGTGGCCCATTTACAGGGAGGCGAGGCTCAGGCCCGGCGGGTGGCGGGGAGCACAGTGCTCTGTCATTCGAGAGATTGGGTGGGTTGGTCAGCTCGATGGTCAGCTCAGCCGTGACACTGCAGACTAGGGGCTCAAGCCACAGACATTGTCCCCCCAGTTCTGGAGGCTGGTGTCAAGGTCACGGTGTGGCCAGGTTGTTCCTCCCGAGGCCTCTCTCCTTGGGCTGCAGATGCCGTCTTCACCCTCCGTCCCCACGTGGTCGTCCCTCTGTGTTCGTGTCCTGATCTCTCACAAGGACACTGGTTGGATTCATCGGATTAGGGCCACCCTAACACCCTCGTTTCAACTTAATTACCTCATGAGAGACCCCCACCTCTATGCTTGCCACATTGTGAGGTGCTGGGATTAGGGCTTCAGCACCCGAATTTGGGGCGCAGAGGTCAGCTGGGCACAGTGGAGGTGTGCAGACAGGCTGTGGGGTGAGGACAGGCTCACGAGGGAGGGGAGGCCACAGACCTGGGCCGGGTGGACTCACCGTGGCCAGCCAGTGCTGGGGGCGTGGGATGGGAGCTGATGGCGAGCAGGGCGGGCACCAAGAGGGTGGGCGGGGTGGCCTGTGTTTCAGGGACGGAGGTGTCTTGGAATGCGTTGTACCCCACGTCCTGGTGGGGGCAGGCGCGGTGGAAACGAGCGGGTGTTCTCGGTACCCCGGCAGAGGCAGTGCTGCGGCGCGGGGCTGCCCTGGCTGACCCCGGACTCGCTGGCCCCGTGGCCGCAGGTGCGCCCGCACAGAGGAGTTCAGCGTGGAGCCCGTGAGCCTCGGCTCCAGCGTGCCCGCGCCCGGGCCCGCGAGCTTCCCCGCCAGCCCTGGCTCCTCTCGTGTCCTCTTTGTGAGCGGTGCGGCCCTCGGCCCCGGTTATGCAGCCGCCTCCTGCTGGTCACCCCGGGACCGGCCTGGGCAGCTGTGGGAAGTGCCAGGCTGTGGCCTCGGGGCTGCCACAGGAGCCCGCGGCTCCATCTTCACCTGGGGGCCGAGGGGCCGGGCCGGGCCTCGCACCGAGGTGCAGCATGAAGGTGGCCGTGGGTGGGGGCTCCAGGCTTTTGCTCCACTCGCCCGCGGGGCCCGTCGTGTGCTCTGTCCTCCACTCACCTGCGGGGCCTGTCGTGTGCTCTGTCCTCAGGTGCGCAGGCGAAGGCTGTTTTGCCCAAGAAGGAGAAGCTGAAGCTGCGCCGTGAGAGGTGGCTGCACAGTGAGTTCACCCCGCGTCCCCCGGGCGGCGGCTTCCCGGCCTCTGTCCATCTTGCTGCGCCGCGGCGAGGGCCGGGGGGCCACGCTCGCGCTGCCTGACCCCTACGATTAATGTTCTGCTCTCTGTCCCTTTTCGGCTATTTCTTAAGGGAATGATTAATACCTTGGTTTTGCCTTCTTCAGGTCTGTTTGAGTTGCTTATTTAGCTCTTTTATTTTTATGTTTTGTTGAGGAGTGAAGGGCTATAAATCACCCTCTGAGTGTTGCTTTAGTTACCATCTCCCAAGTTGATTTTACTTAAGTTTTTATCGTGAAAAATTTCATACAGAAAAGTAGGAGGGAACACCCTTTCACCTATTACCCGGATTTGACAGTGGACACTTTCCGTCACCCATCTGTATACCTGTCCCTTCCTGTCGGCCCGCCCACCCCACCCCCGTTTTATCGACGCATTCCACAGGAAGCTGCAGATGTCAATACACCTCCTCCCTACACCTTCTCCCAAATGGTTCTGCCGGAGTGTCTTTTTTGTTTTTATTTCGAAGTAAACTTTACATACAATGAAATGCAGGTCTTGAGTGTGCCATGCAGCGATTTATGACAAGTGCACACACCCGTGCAACCAAAGTCCCTTTCACCATGCAGCTCACCATCCCAGGCACTCCCGCGAGCGCCCAGAGGAGGCGCTGTCGGGTCGGTCCGGGTCCCAGAGTAGGCTCGCTCCTGCACGGCAGGTGCCAGTCACGGAGGGCGTGCGCTTTCTGGGTTCCTCGAACTCCCCCGTGCTCCTGTGGCCCCGCGCTTCTGTGGCTGAGAAGCGTTTCTTTATATGGACATGGAGCTTGGTGCCCAGTTCCCCGCTGACGGACACCTGGTCTTTTTTCTCTTTCGGCCGCTATGACTAAGGCCGCGCCGAGCGTTCCTTACCAGTCTTTTTGTGGACATGTGTTTTCATTTCTCTTGGGCAAATACTTGGGAATGGAATGCGGGGTCATAGGGTGGTTGTATGTTTAGTTTTACAAGCGGCTACCAGACGTTTCTCTACAGTGATGTGTTTCCACTCCCACCGACGCCGGCGGGGGCTCGCAGCCGCACGGCAAAAAAAACGGCGTGCGGTGGTGGCTGTCCGTCAAGCGCCAGGCGGTGGCTCGTGGAATGCTGCTCACTGCCACGAGCCGGCGTCACGAGCTCGTGGCCCAGTTGTGTGCCCCGCACCTGAGCGCATCCCGCGGCCGTGCCTCTGGTGCCGAGCTCTGAGTTCTCGTGCCCTGCACGACAGTCCTTGTCAGCGAGTGTTTTACAGGTGCTTTTCTCCCAGACAGTGACTGGCCTGGTCGTTTTCTTATTCATTTATTTTTTTGACGAATAGAAGTTAAATTTTGAGGAGTCTAATTTATCTTTTTTTCTCTTACCTGGTCAGTGTATATGTGTGTGTCTTGTTTGAGAAAGCTTTGCCTCATCTCAGGTTACAAAGATGCCGTCTGTTCTTCTACAGCTCTAGTTCTGGCTTTTATGTTTGAATCTCTGCTCCATCTCGAGTGACTCTGGTGTGAGGCGCTGGTCGAGGTTCTTCTTATTTACTCGCTAAGGATATTCAGTTGTCCCAGCACTGTTTATCGTGACGACTTTGTTTCCTCGTTCGATTGCTGTGGTGTCTGTGCGACAGGTCAGATGGCTGCCGCTGCTGTCGCACCTCAGCAAGTGCCAGGCAGCCGGACAGCTGCAGTGCCCGGTGGGCCTGGGACGCGGGGCCGGGGTCCTCTCTGTGCTTCGTCCCTGGACCGCGCGGGCAGTGCGGGCCCCTGGCGTGTCCACGTAAACTGTCCTGTCGGCCGGTCCGCTCTGCCCTCGTGCCCACCGGCGCCGGGAGTCTGGCTGGCCGAGGATCAGGGTGCTTTAGGTCCGTAGGTCAGTTTTGGAGAATTGCCACTTTAGGAGCATCGACTCTTCGCGTCCGTGGGCGTGGTACACGTGTCCTCTAGTTTCTGTCATCGGTGTCTCGTGTGGCTTTTTTTTTTTATTTAAATAAGCCTAACTGTTTTATAGTTTTTGAAGCTGTTGTAAATGGAATTCTCAAGAGCTGCACATTTCAGTTTCCTGCTAGTACATAAAAGTGTTTTTGTTCGGATGTTAACCTTGTGTTCGGTGGCCTTGCCGAGATGGCGCGTTAGTCCCGTAGTCACTCTGTAGCTTCCTTAGTGTCCTCTGCATAAATACTCACGCCCCTTGAAACAGACCGTTTTCTGCCTCCCTTCCAAACTCAGGTTCGCGCAGCCTTTGGTGTGGTGTCGACAGAGGGCGTGAGGACCGTTCCGGCCTGGGGCCAGGAGTCGGGCCAGGCTAGTGTCCTAAGAGCTGCCTCGTGCAGGAGGCGGAGCCCAGGCCTCAGTGCTGCATGAAGCGGGTCGGGCTCATGCGTGCTGTTCTAGCCGTTTATGAGGAGCTCCCCTTCGCCGGTCAGCACACAAGGGCTGGGTGGTAGGGAGCGGACGACAGGGGTGCTTCTTACTGCCCGCCTTCTGATTTCAGTGATGGGACCTGGGTGGGCTTTAAGGGAGCTGGTGCCAGCCTTCTTGGCTCTGGATAGCAAGGCTGGTTTCAGCCCGCAAACATCTCTGAGGCCTAATTTGCATGTGAAATGCTTTCCTAATGCAGACTCCAGCGAGTTTTAAGCTAAACGCTTGGGGTGAAGAAGCCTCAGTCCATATGGGCCTTCCTGAGCCCCGGCCAGGCCCCAACAGTCAGGGCTTCAGAACTTGCTGCTCGAGGCCCCGAAGTTGGCAGAAGGGACTTTTTGCTTGTCCCCTTTGCTCACTAGTGGGCTGGCTGTGAAAACCTGCTCCTCTTGGGACGGATGTCAGCGTGTGGGTCAGTCCAGCCCCGGCTCCCGTCCAGGCCACAGGGTTTCCTAGAGAGAAGTTAGCGAAGGGGCTGTGCACGGGTCAGGCACGGAGGCGCAGAGGCCTGCAGAGAGGTGGCATGGGGCTCAGTGCGCCTCCCTGGAAGAGGGCCTGGGCCTTAGGACACGTCCAGGAGTGAGGGGAGCAGTGCGTGCCCTAGCCCCCCGCCCACCCCCCACTGTCTCAGCGGGCACAGGGCGGGGGGAGATGGGGGGCAGCAGTGGAGGCCGCTGAGAAGGCACCGAGGAAGCCCTGAGCTGAGCCCACTGGCACGGGACGGACACCCCTGAGATTCACTCCCTCACGCTGGCACTGCACCCCAGGCCGAGGTGGAGGGCATCCGTGTCTGAGGACAGTAATGTTTGAGCTGAGACTAAACAAGCCGCAGAGCTGTTTAGGTGACACATTCACTGTCAAATGCGCATGTGGCTTTCCTCTCAGGAGGTGGCAGGGGTGGCGAGGGAGGCTGAGCTGAGGGCTTCGTGGTGCGTGGTGCGGGGAGCCTGCCACTCCGTGCGTGGGGTGTGGGGGCTGTGCCCGTGCCCCTGCCTCCTGCTCCTGTGTACATGCGGCTCCTGCCCGGGGCCCAAGTCCCCGCCCGGCCACCCCCACTTTCTCCGCCTTCATTGTCTGTATCGGGAGTGGGTAGCAAGCTCGCCCTATTCTGGGCACGTCTCCTGGCGACTGTGGCAGCCGCTGCCATTGACCTCCAGCAGACGTCCCCACGTGAACCGTCCTTGTGTGTCTGGACGCTCCCTAGTTGGACACCGCACGTCACTTTAAAATGCTCGGCTCTGATTCACCCAGCGTTGGCGTGTCCCTGCTCTCCCCCGCCCCGGCCAACCCAGCCACCTGGCCCCCCAGGGTGCTCGAGCTCACTGGGCAAGGCGCCTGGCGTAGTGAGGTGCTGAGTAAACTGGTCACCCTCGTCCTGACAGGATGGAAGGTCTCATGTCGTCACCCTGAAACCCAGTCACCCTGGGCTCTGAGAGGTGGCATGGGGCTCAGTGCACAAGGCCCCGGGAGGGAGGGCGGCCTGTGCCCTGGTCTCAGCTCTGTGGTGCAGGTGAAACTCACTGCACTGGGCCCTCTGGGACACTCCTAGCTGGGGACCGCGCTCGGGACCAAGTGCTCAGTCAGGATGGGCCTTTCCGAGCTTGCTCCGGGCTGACCAACTGGGAGCTGGAGAGAAGCTGGCTCTGCCAGCAGTGATCAGTGGGCTGGCCCGAGTCTGTCCCCGTGCGTGGGCTTCCCATCCAGCTGCCCGGTTCCTCCCAGCCGGCCCTGTGGATGCTGTGCCCATCATCGCCTCCTGCGCCCGCCCTGCGGGGCTGACAGGTGGCCGTAAAGTCAGCACACTGCATGAGGGAGTGGCCCCTGTGGGTCCCGTGTGGGCCACTGGCTGCTCTTCTCCGGGGGCATCTTCCGAGCCCTGGCCATTTGTCAGGAAGGTGGCTTTTCGTTCCCTTGTAGATGTGATTCAGAGCCCGCACCGTTATTTATAGCGCAGCAAACGGGTCGTGCCGTGTTTGAGGGTGCGATGGGCGTCTCAGGCTCGGGTCTCAGCCCACACCCGTCACTGCCCTTGTCTGGAGCGGTTTTTAGTAGCGGAGCCTTTTTATATGTAAAGGACACAAGACACCTGCTGGCAGAGCGAGGGAGCAAGGCGGCTGCACGGGGGGACGCTTCTGATGGCCTTTGAACCAGTGGCCTGGCCGCCTGTTGCCCTGGGTGTGTGTGGGGGGAGGGGGCTTTGTCCAAGATGTGCACGCAAACCAGCGAGCCACGCTGGGAGCCACGTGTCCAAGTACGTATATTAGCAGTTTTGAAACAAATGTATTTTTAAATGGAAATTAAAGAGTAGGGCTGTGCCCCGTCCAGGCTCTGCCGAACCCCTTCTGCAGGGCACTGGCCACAGCCTCACCCTCGGACCGTCCAGGCCCTGCCACCTGTCCCCTGTCCCGGCCCCTTCCCAGTGGCCGAGTGGAGGGAGGCCTTCTCCAAGACCCATCCCCCGGCACCCGTCCTGACCCCTCAGAGCAGTTCAGTGTCAGGGATCCGGCTCCCTGTCCCCTCCCAGGCTGTCCCCTCCTCCCATGGGGACTCTCCGTGTGCATCCCCAGGAGGCGCCTGGGAGGTGGAGGAGAATGATGTGCCCACCGCCCGTGTGTGCCTGGCCCCCCACGTGCCCGAGTCCTCAGTGCCTGCAGCGCCGGCCCTGCCGTCTGCCCTGTCATCAGAGCGGAGTGATGAGGGCAGAAAATAGCGCAGAGGACCGCCCCCCCCCCCCGTTTCCACGGTGGCTTGGAGGTGCCAGCAGGACAGACCTGAGGGCCCTCGGCCTTTGCCTCCCCCTAACCCCCCGTCCCCCTTCCTCAGAAATCGAAGCCATAAAACTGGCCGAGCAGAAGCGCCAGGCGGAGCGGAAGCGGCGGGCCACCGTGGTGGTCGGGGACCTCCAGCCCCTGCGGGATGCGCTCCCCGAGCTGCTGCAGCTGGAGGCCAGCTCCCGGCGGCCGCACGCCAGAAGGTGAGTGTCCCCTGCGACACCAGGACGGGGCCGGCTCCCTGTGCTGCAGCCACGGCCCTGGTCAGGGCAGAGGAGGGTGACGGGGCCGGGGCCAACGGGCACTGCGGCTGGTCCTGACACAAAGCCCTGGCTCCCGCGGCCCGAGCCACCAGGAGAGCAGGCGGCGACCCTCGAGGCGACGAGGACCGGGCCTCCCCGGTGAGGGCCCAGCCGGCACGGACTGCTGCACCGCAGCCTCCGGCCTTCCCCCAGGAGGGCACTGCCGCTCACGGCTCCTTCTGGCGCCACCCCTGGGCTCCATCCCCTCCCGTCCTGCAGCCTCTCCCGGGAGCCCGTGTCCTTCCAGGGCTCACTCTGCCCTGCGTGACGTGGCTGCTGCAGGACGCCCGGACCTGGCCTCGGGAGGGCCTCAGGGAGGCCGGTCGGCAGAGTCGGGCCTCTGCTGTCCCCGTGCCCGCCTTCGCCGTGTGCTGGCTCGTCTCTGATCTGCCTTTTAAAATGACCCTCCCGCTGCTGCTCCCTCTGAGAAGAAAGGGTCCCCCACCCCCACTCGCACAGTGAGCGTGGTGGGGACGTGCAGGGCCACCCAGGCCGGCTCCCAGGGCGGAAGTACCCAGGACATTCGGGCCAGATGAGGGGGCCACCGGAGCTGAGCCTGAGGTGTGGGTTCCGTCCTGGCTTTTGACGAAGAGAGGCGGGCCAGGCGGCCTTCCCTGCTTCTGGCTTCTTGTCTGAGAGTTTGCCGGCCCCGAGGGGAGCTGGCCGCTGGGCCCCGGCCATTCCGGCCACCCCTTGCTGCTGAGCTTGGGGCTGGCCTGGGGTCTCTGGTGCGGGATGGCTCCCAGCCGGCCCTTCAGCCACGGAGGCCCCCTTGGCTGGGGGTCACTGTCCCCACTCAGGTGCGTCTTGGTGCTGGGGAGCTGTTTGTTTGAGTAAATGTTCCTTTAGAACAGTTTTAGTTTTACAGGAAAATGGCAGAGATAGTGCCGTGGGTCCCCGTGTTTCCCTATCAAAAATAGTTATGTTACTGGCGTGTGTGTTTGTTACAGTTTAGGATCCAGCACGACACGTAACGATCGGTGTAAAATGATAACGCCCAACGCCCAAAGTTTGCTCAGCTCACCGCAGATTTGACTTAAGCTTTATCTGTCCAGGATCCCATCCAGGAAACCACACAGCATCGCTCGTCACTCCCCTGGGGTCTCCTCTGGGCCGTGACAGTTTCTCAGACTTTTCTCGCTGACGGTCTTGAGGAGGGCTGCTCAGGCGTTTTGTAGGAAGCCCCTCAGCTGGGATTAGCTCGGAGACCTCTCCTGACTGGACAGTGGACAGGGAAGGGGCTGTCGGGGGAGACCACAGAGGGCCAGCGCCCTGCTCGTCACACCCTGTGCAGGCCCCTGCGGTTGACGTGACCCGTCACCGTTGGCGCTGACCGCGGCCCCTGACGGAAGCGTGT